ATAACGACAGAATATGCTTAAAGCGCCACAGCTTTTATTAGGAAATCATTTCTCTTTGCCGTCAAAAATGATGCTATTACTATTATTAATTTTTCGCATGTGAATCTTTAAATACATAAATGGAATAGAGTACTTGTAAAAAATTGATATATCGATCAGGACTTCTGCTTTCTACCCGTGCAAAATTTGCGTGCACTGTAGGTTAATTGTACCGTATGTTTCAAGCAGGGGAATTCTGGGATAGTAGACATGTTACTCACCTGGCTAGAACCAAGTCGGAGATTTCAACAGGGAAAAGATTCACATGCATTTTTAAATAGATAAAAGTATATATATATATAAGTATTTATTTATTCATAGCTTGTAATTTGATATTCAAATAGACGGGCTGGGACGATTTTATTTATTTTTATTTTTTCTTGGTTGGAGGGGGAGCTACCTGGTATAATTTTGGTCCAATCACTTCTTTAAATAAATATTCAGTACAATTCCGCCCGGTACTCAAATAACTCTAGGGCAAAGTATATATATATATATAAAAAAAGTATATATATACTAAAAAGTATATATATATATATATAATTATTTATTCCAAAATTATCACATAAATATGTTATAAAATCACATCAAAAATGGCCATTTTGTTTCAACAGCTCTGGTGTCTTATCAATGAATGTAGAATAAAAGGTTTTATTCTGCATTCAACGTCATCACTTGATAAGACACCAGAAGTGTTGAAACAAAATGCCTATTTTTGTAGTGATTTTATAACATATTTATGTTATAATTTTCAAATAAATTATTATATTTGCTCTACTCTGTATTGAGCACTCTTTTAAGAATAGTATTTGTTGGTTATTGGAATTTATTCCGTATACATCAATCCTATACTTGTATATATATATATATATATATATATATATATATATATATATATATATATATATATATACTTCTGATGTTATCAGTCTGGAGTGGGGAAGATCCCAACGTGGGTTACCTTTGGAAAGTGCCTGGAAACCATACCACATTTTAACCTGTTGGGGCCACCCACCTTCTCATCAGAATGGACTGATCTCTCTACTACTAATAGGACAGTTCTATAGAGTTCTGGGGAGTTCAGGTGACCATCACACTTCCGTCTGTCTACTGGAAGATACAGTTGGACTTTATATTCTTTCTGATTGTTACTGACTAACCTGCGTTCGTTTGACTACTAATCTCTATGTTGTAAATACCTCTTCAGATATACCAGTGTGACGTCGTCCCCCGGTCGCAGCGCCGACTGTGATGTTCTACCCTGATCTACCACGGCGCCAGTTGTGACGTCCCCAAACAGCACCGATTGTGACGTCCTCGCCGCGGCGCCAGCTGTTCGCTCCTCGCTGCTCCGTTCGGGTGTCGCTGCTCCAAACGTGACGTCGGCCTGTCGCGTCAGTCGTGTTGTCTCGTCCTGTGACGACCAACTGGCTTGGTATCGGTCGCGGCACCCAAATGTGACGTTCTAACCTTTTGGTGATTCGGGTGGGAATCTGGTTAGATTTGAACGGGGGTGATACTACACAAATATGCATAAAAGAAAAGAAAATGAAAACTCAAAAAGTTCAAAGTATCAAAGAAAAAGTTAACAAACTTTATGTCTAGTTGTTCGATACATAGAACTGCATCTATCTCCCGACCCGTTCTGTGGATTGTGACACGTCGTTTTCCGTTAGGAAAGTTTTTAACGCTTCAAGTTGTTTGCTCTCTAAGAAATTGGCGTTTCGGTGTGTCTTTGGACGAAAGTCGAAAAACTTATTTCGTTGGTCTGGTTCTAAGTCGCTCTTCAAAATAATTGTTTTTGGGTTGAAGAGGAGTCCGGAATTTTTGCGTGAATCTTGGTCAGCTATCTGCGAGGCGGTTTGAACTGGAGACTGACTCTGGGAACTCAACTCTGGAAACTCGAGCCCCTGACCCTGTTGGGGCCTCTTCTGTTGGCGTCCAAAACCGGGGGTTTCTCTCGATAATTCTAAATACATATCCACCTCTTTTATTTCTGGTTAGGGATTTTCCACTCTTTTCCATTTTTGGGAACCTTTCCTCACTCCCACTTTCTCACCATACCTCTGAGGGGCGTGAACTGCCCTCCCCATTTCTTCGTAGCAGCTTCTCATACTTATACTCTGGACGGGGCGTCGACAGCCTTCTTCGTGCGTCACGTGATCACCACTCGGCCAATGAGGTCTTTGTCGGGTATCTATCCTCCTCCTTCGTGCGTCACGTAATCAACACTTGACCAATGATGTCTTAGTCGGGCCTGAACAATCCGTGGATTTGTTTCGGGAAAAAAATATCTTGCTTAACTAAAAAAAATATCTCTTCTCTTTCGCTTAAATCGCCGTTATCATTTCTCTAGCCACGGACAAAATGACAACTCTTGTTTTACACGTGGTGTTTGTCAGGTATTTTAACGCTAATTCATCAAGATGGATGGTATTCTTAACATGGCTTCAAAAAAAAATAATATCCCCAAAGTTTTCAGTCAGTCTGTCGCCTCCAAGGAAGAAAGAAAAACACTTCTGGTTCCCTATTCATTTTCCCTCGGTACATATTCCTGATAACAAAGTTGTTTCGTCGAAAAGAATTCGGTCAGCGTACTGCTTGTGTGGGATTTAATTTTTCATGTCCTTTTTAGTGGCCTGTTTCTCGTCACTTATCGAAATAGCATTTTCACTTGAATTTTTCCCTGGCCAGTGGTCCAGCCTAGATAACACAGCCGTTATCAAAACACATCTGATTCCTTCTTTTTTCCCTTTCTTTTTTACTCAGAAATTCCCTGTCATTGTAATGACACCCTTTTTCATTTGTTACTTATCAATATTTTCATTGTCTCTTAGCCGTGTGTTTGGCTGCTTATCACCTACGATTCGTCTCGCCTTTCTTTCTGCCTTCCTTTCTTTCTCTTCCTTTCTCTGCCTCGTAAATGGTACCACACCAGTATTTTTCCCTACGTATGTGTTTGTCATTATTTCAATACACGCACGTGGAAACACTCAACATCTCAACATAACCCAAGCCTTGTGAGTGAAATTAGGTAGATGGAATACTATAGATAGTCGATAACTATGATGATGACGTGATTTCAGGACCGATGTTTTGAGCGCGCTCGTGTTGTTCAGATTGTTGATCACGCTAGATAACACGCTCTCTCCCAGAAACTGTAACTAAGGTCTGCCCAGCATACTTGCCGTACAAACCACTGGTGGGTTCTGTGTGTGTTGAATAAGCACAAATGTGACTGAGCGAGCATCTTCAATAGGGATCGGATAGTAGACGGGTATCCTCGAATAAGAGTGGTCAGATATTATTATATATTATCATTGATTTAATTCTAAACCATTATAATAAAACATTTTGAAATCCCTACACAAAAGCTTTTATGTTTCGATCCTTTGATTGTACTTAAATGCTACAAACAATGGGATTTTACTTCATCTGTTCTTTCTCTGAATTGTATATATATATATATATATATATATATATATATAAGAAATATAGTCTTAAGATATGCTATATTTATGGGATAAAGTGCCAGCTATCAGAGATAAAAGCGTGTGTAAGTATAAAGGTGAACATAGAATTCAACATTCAGAGACGACAGTCTGATTCATATATATTTTACACACACATACATAAATATATATATATATATATATATATATATATATATATATATATATATATATATATATAATTTCTTCTTGTATATAAAGGTGAACATAGAAGTCAACACATAGAGGCGACAGTCTTTCATATTTATATATATATATATATATATATATATATATATAAAAATGAATAAAACAAAATGAAAAATTTTCTTAGGGACACGTTTCGTTCTCTGAGGGACATTATCAAAGGACAGAAACGCGTCGGTTGATTTAAGTCTTCTTTTATTCATATTGTTCTTTTACAGATATACTCTATTTGAAATTTTTACACACACACACACACAGACACACACACACACACACACACACACATATATATATATATATATATATATATATATATATATATATATATATATATATAATTTCTTCTTGAATAAATCAACTACGGGATAAATCGACTAATTCCAGTAGATTTTACAAGGTGCTCAATACCTAGACCGTGGAGCAATATTCTTAAATATTATCGTAAAAAGATAAAGCTAATTCAGTTTCACAGTTGAGGATTTCTGGCTGCTTTGACACGGTGGCGTAATGGATTTCGATTTGGATTGAGGAATCGATGAGACGAGTTCGAATTCCAGTCGATAACTATGACGATGACGTGTGACTTCGAGACCGAGAGTTTGTGTGTGCTCGTGCTGTTCAGATTTTTGATCACGCTAGATAACACCCTCTCTCCCAGAAACTGTAACTAAGGTCTGCTCAGCATAGTTGCAGTAAAATCGCAGGTTTGTGCTGTGGGTGTTGAACAAATACAAATATACCTGGCCAAGAGTCTGTGAGGGCAGTTTGCTTCCCCAAACATTGTTCAATCTCTTTCTTGATAACATCATGCGAGAAAGCGTCCAAGACTTTTAGTTAACTTTATCCATAGGAGGAAAAATCATTAACAACTTACCCTTGGCTGATGACATTGACTTGTTGGACGGCAGACAGATTGACAGACAGGGCAGAAGCGTATGGAATGGAAGGGACAACTGAGAAGAGTAAATGTCCTGGTCAACAGCACAACCAACATCAGGGGACAGATCTTCATAAACGGAGATGTTGATGCCTTTAAGTTACCCTCACCAAAGACGCAGGGTCTACTAAAGAGATTAAGAACAGACTGGCTATGGCAATATCGGCAATGTCACAACTCAGTTAGATTTGGAAGAGCAAAAACATCGGTTTTCCAACCAAAATAAAGCTCTACAAATCCCTGCTGCTTCCCATACTTCTCTATGGATGGGAAAGCTGGACATTGATAGTAGAAACTACGAAGAGAGTCCAAACATTTGAAATGAAATGCTTCATTCGCCTCTTCGGGATCTGGAGAAAACACAAGAGAAATCACTTTCTACAGGGCCAAGTAACACAACTAGCAGGACCCCAAGAGTCCCTCTTGGCAACAAGTAAGAGAAGAACGCTGTTCTGGCTTGGATGCCACACTGCTCTACCCAAGAATGTCCTTCAAGATACTTTGGAAGGAGGTAGACTCAGAGGGGAGGTAGTCCAAAAGCTGGAAGGAAGTGTAACTCGTAGATACGACCCCTCGCTAGACTGGCTTGAAAAATGGTTTCTTGTACCGCTTCAGTAAGTACCTGTCTCCTCCTGCGAGGCTCTATCTTTACAACAGTCAGATCAGACCAAAGATGGAATACCGCTGCTATATCTGGGGTGGAGCTGCACAGTCTTCAATTTCCAGTTTTGACAGAAATCAAAAGCGTCTACTCGTGGGAGAGCAATTATTTACCACCCCACAGCTTATCTTCCTACAGCCGGAAAGCGTCAAGCATTTCGCTAAACTATCGCTATTTCCATGGCAAATGTTCAGACGAGCTATATTCCTTAGTTCCACCAAATCTAACCCTAACGGCTAAGACCCGCCAAGCATGGTGACCATGGTCTACCCATCCTCATTCCTTTCATATTCCATTAGTAAGAAAGGAGTTGCACACGGAGAGCGCCTTCTTAAGAACCGCTACTTTGTACAATTGACTCCCGAGAGGATGCTTTCACGACCACTACAATCAGAACATTGGGCTGACCGTTATCTTTTCTACATATCCTCATGAACTGCGTTCCTTACTTTTAGCATTCATGCAAAAACCTTCTTCAGTAGCCCTCTACCTTGAGTGGCTCTTTGGGCAACATTAAATGATATAGTTACAATATTATATTATACTTCACCCGTCCGATAATAATGGCTACATTTGCATACATATTTCACACACGAAATGGAACACCTATTTTAATATTATATCGCCCTGTCCCATATTAGCAGTTACATTTGCATTCACATTTCATATACAAAGTGTAACAACTATTTTGGGACAGAGGTAATATTTTATATTAAATTACTATCTATGTCCCATAAAATGTGCTACATTTGCATACACATTATCCGACATTACATGTAACAACAATTATCGGACAGAGAAACTACATATGCCCTATAAAATGTTACATGTACATAGACATACAAATTACGCTATATCGTAGCTTCCTAGTTCCTTTTCTATATTTTCATTGTAATTGACCTGTTGAGCTTTCCTCTCTGGTACCCGACTTGAAGCATTTAAGTTCAGTACTAGATTGTCAGTTATGTCTCATTTTACTATTGTTAATTGTAAGCGTCATTTCATTATGCCTCTTAATTCCTTGGGGAACATAAGGTCGCAACATTATCTCTCCAATTGACGTGGTTCCGGGCGATCCTCTTCAGCTGGGCCCGTGTCGTACCAGCTACCGTCCCGGGGGGATTTTCACCAGCACGCGTCATAAGCTCCACTTTGAAGGACTCTTCCTCGGCCATGTCGTTGATTGAAGATATCGTTGAGGTTTCTGTAAGAAGATAGTTTTTAAGTGAGTAGGTTGTCAGCCTACCTTACAACGCATAACCTGGAAGACCAGGGCGTGTCTTTTGTCTGGCTCCTACACCACTGACCTGTTGAGCTTCGTTGGACATTCTAAGGGCCGAAGCCCCCACCCACATATCTCTGGGGGTCGTTGAATCAGGCAAGCCATCCTCCAACGTCAAGAAGACACACCATCAGGACGAATTTAAAGAGTAAGATCTATGCTGCTGAGTTCTTATCTCGGACTTTTGGTTCAGTGAGCACTCTTCTGGCTTTCTTGTCAAATCCGATCTTCCGAAATTTAAATACAACGTCAATCGTCACCTTCTGTTGTTTTGAATCCTAGTATTTTCATGGCCTTTCGTTAAAGTTTTCTCACTTTCTTTAAAACCCCCTTGCGTCTCAGTGGCTTTATCATCTTGCTTGGAGTGAAATGATTAAAAACAATTTCTCAGAGAGATTTCTCAACTTTCTTGATTCTGACGTCTTGGACTGTTTTCCCATCTCATCCTTTGACACCGTCCCAACTTTTTCAATCATGATAAAAGCAAGCACCAGCTTATACTGTATATCGTTCTCCGTCCTTCGTGAAGGTCCTCATATTTTATCAGCTTTTCACATTTCTTCAGTGGCATTTGACATTCTACTGGCACGTATATATCCAGTATCAGACAGATTTGAGTCGCCTGGCCGAGGTTTTGTGCTTTTTTTTCTCGCTTTCAAATTATTAATAACAAGATATTATTCTGAATTATTATTATTATTATTATTATTATTATATGGTGGTGGTGACGATGACAATGATACATTATCAATTATTACTAATTTTTTACGAGTATTTCTTTCAGTTTAATTGTATTTACTATACTTACTGTAATAGTATTACTAGTAATATAATATTGAATTTTTATGACGAATTGTTATAAGCTCACAAGTATCCATATTCCCCTGGTGTCTGTTTTAACTGACGCTGTCTTGTTTCGATATATTTTGACCATTTTTGCTTAAAGTTTGTATTTTTTTGATTTCAGATAAAAGCGTGGGACATTTTTAATTGGAATTTTCACTTTGCAGAATTATAATTTACAAGTCAAATCGCCGCCTCACGAACATTTCTCTTAATGATATTAAAAATAATTCGGCGGAAGATGTTATTTTATTTATGGTAAACCGACTTTTGGCGATTGCCTTTCTCGTTTGTCCGTCGTCCGATACCGCGCGTCCGCAAAATTCCGCTTTTATCACTGTCGACAACTTCTCGGGCCTTTTGGCTGGGATCAAAGTGTAGTATCTGACCTCGGGCGAATAAACTGCATTTGATCTCTCAGTTGTGTCTCTGTCTTCGGACAGAATGCAACAGGGAGAGCGTGGAGCAACAAGTACATACAATCGCTTCTCGGACGTTTTAGCTACGATCAAAATGTTCTTCTCAGCCTAATCTGGTTTCTTCTCTACACTACAAACTTCCTTTCTTTCATTTTCTCACTGAAACCAAGTAGTGTCTTTTCCCCACTTTCCAGGCGATCAAAACGCAAGAGTCCATTATTTATGAGGTTCTGGCCAGGCGTAAAGGCCATGCAAACTCTCGAATGGAGGCATAAATACAATTATTATATAACCATACTTTCTACATCTTCTATAGGCCGCATTCGTTCAAGACATTGCTCTCCACAGCCTTCTTTCCCTTGTGACTCAGTTTAATCCCATTGCTAAAAGTTCCTCCATCCACCCACACAAGCTCGTCAGCCTCTTTCTATTGACCTCAGTATTCTTCCTGATTATGTTTCGAAGAAATTTTTGCTGATTAGAAGTGTTCTTTCTGTTGCCATTTTCTTTAAGACTTCCTTGCTGCTTACTCGCCAAGTCCATGGAATTCTCATTATACTTCTGTAGAACCACACTTCTGCTCTAGTTTTCTCCGCATTCGTGGGGAGATTGTATAACATTCACTGCTATATAAGAAGATGGATACAACATAAAAATCCAGTATTCTTTTTTTTTTTCTAACGATTTTTTTCCGTTTTCCTTGCTTAGCATTTGGGATGCTTATTTCTCTCATCCAATGCGTGTTCGGGTCTCGGTGTTGCATTTTTCATCCTCTGTGAAAACACTTCCCGGATATGTAAACCTCTGCACCTGTCTGATGTTGGTATCACCCATTCGTAACCCATTTTTTTTTTCTCTCTCTCTTCCTTATGACCCTCTTTTCTATCTTCTTGCAATTAACGCTTAGTTCTTGTTCTCGTTCTTCTGCCGTTCCGTATAAAGAGGTTTTGTAGTTTCATTTCCAAGACGGCCATCGACACAGTGTCATCCGCGGGTCTTATATTGTTAAGATTATTCACACCAATAAATCGTGGTAAGGTCTCCAGTTCCCTTAGGGATGAAAAAAGTCGCCATTTTAACCTGAAAACACCAAGGTATGAGTTTTGTACGATTACATATTCTACTGAAACGCACTACAAGTCCACATGTAGGGCAGTGAATGCTGTAGAATCATCTCACTTGGAGCAACAGAAACGAGGTACTACTGAAGAATTCTGAGAATACCATGGACTGAACATGTGATGAACGGGGAAGTTTTCGATATTTACTTAGATTTATTTTTTTCCACGTTTCTTTTCTTTCTTTCTTTTTTCTTTCTTTCTTTCTTAGGCTTTTTCTTTCTCTCCCATTTTCTTTCTTCTTTTTCGATATTCCATTTTCTTTCTTTTTTCTCTTTTATTCGATTCCACGCTTTCTTTCTTTCTTTTTTTTTTCTTTCTTTCTTTCTTTTTTCTTTCTTTTTCTCTTTCTTTCTTTCTTTCTTTCTTTCTTTCTTTCTTTCTTAGGCTTTTTCTTTCTCTCCCATTTTCTTTCTTCTTTTTCGGTGTTCCATTTTCTTTCTTTTTTCTCTTTTATTCGATTCCACGCTTTCTTTCTTTCTTTCTTTCTTTCTTTCTTTCTTTCTTTCTTTCTTTCTTCTTAGGCTTTTTCTTTCTCTTCCATTTTCTTTCTTTTTCGATATTCGATTTTCTTTCTTTTCTCTCTTTTATTTAATTCCACGCTTTCTTTCTTTCTTTTTTCTTTCTTTCTTTTCTTTCTTTCTTTCTTATTTGTTCTTTCTTATCTTCGAGGAAGTTTTAGAGAAAATAGTAACCAAAGGTATACTTATACTTCCCATCAGGGAGAGACAGTTGAAATTTCTAGAGCGCGTAATGAGGAAAGAGGGCTTGGAAAATTTGTCACTCACAGGACATATTGAAGTCAAGAGATACAGAGGAAAATAGCGCCTAAATGGCTTAACGTGCTTGTCTAAGTGATGGCACAACTGCGTTTAAGATAGATACCAAAATGACTAACATTTTCTAAGTTACAATGTACAGGAAGTTGTGGAGAGCCAAGATCGACAACGTCTTCAAGAAACAGTTTTTCATACAATTCACAGTTTATTATCCTTCCTTCTCGTAAATGTTTTTTTTTTAATCTAGCTTTATTTTTTATAATCCTTTACCTTCCTCTCACGCGGTCTAATTTTTTGTTATCTTCGTTTGTCAGTTACACGTTTTTTAAAGCTTTTTTCTATATTTTCTTCTCTGCTTTATCTTTCATCTCTTCTCTCTGTTTTAGTTTCCTTTTTAATTACTATTGCTATTATCATCACTATTATGATTTTTATTCCACACACCTATTGTGTTTCTCTCGTTTGTCTGTTTCTATTTTGTTAACTAATCCTGCCGGCCGTCTACCATTTTCTGAACAAACAACATGGCGAACAGCTTTTTTTTTCGGTTGGATCAATGTCTTTTGCAATGAGTATGTGATATGACTTTTGTCGCGTCGTTTCTTAATGTCGTTACGTCTACTTATTTTTTTTTTTTTTATCATGTTGTAAAACATGGACAATTGGCTTCTTGAGCATTTTCTGCGAATGTTCAAATATTATTCTCACTATCACCGTTCTTACGTTTATTTTTATCGGTCTATCTCTTCTCAGATGTAATTGCTTCTTTAATTTTGTTGCCTTTATCTTGCTCCGTTCATTTTATTTCTGTCTCTTTCCCGCTTTATAACTAAATACAATATCTACATATTGCAGTTAGGTATAAAGCGTTAGTTTATTGTCTGTTTGCGTTTTTCTGTTCATTATCATACTGTATTTTTTTTTCTTGTCTCTTTTCTTTGCTGTTTTCACTTGTCGCCTCTATTTCATTTCTTAACTTTTATTCTCCCTCTCTTTCCTTTTCTCATCCTCTCACGTCAAGATGTTTTTTTCTTTTCGCTTAAAAAAGCTCCTTCTTTCTTTCTTTCTTTCGTTCTTTCTTTTTTTCCCTTCTCTCGTACATTTCAATATTTTTCTTTCTTTACACGTTTTTTTTCTTTGCTTTTTCTACTTTTAATGTTTGTATTTTTATTTTGTGTATGTTTTTAATAAGTTTACACTCATTTCTTTCTTTCTTCTTCTTTCCTTTCTAAGCTTAATGTCTTTCGCTTTCTTTCTTATTTGTTCTTTCTTATTTATTTCCAGTTTTTTTTCTTTCTTTTCTTCTTGCTTCTTTTTCGATATTTATTTTTATTTCTTTTCTCTCTATTTGTTTCCACGCTTTCTTTTTTATTTGTTTCTAGGCTTTTTTTTCTTTCTGTCTCTCTTTCTTTCTTCCTTTTCGATATTTCATTTTCTTTCTTTTTTTCTCTACTATTTATTTCCACATTTCATTTGTGTGTTTCATTCTTTCTTTCTTTTTCCTTCTTAGGCTTTTTCTTTCTCTTTCTCTTTCTTTCTTCCTTTTCGATATTTTATTTCCAAGAAAGGAAATAAAATATCTCTTATTTTTTTTCCGCTTTTTCCCATTTCAATTTTTCTCTCTTCCTTCTCTTCTTTCTGTGTTGTTTTGTAATTTTTCTTTTTTGATGTATTCAATGCCTTAAATACTTTTTAATTTTACAGGCTTTTTCTGTTAGATTTTCATTTTCTTCATTCATTTCTTTTTCTCTTTCTTTCTCTCTTTCCATTTCTTTCTTTCTTTCGTTCTTTCTTATTTGGTTCTCTGTGTTTCTTTCTATATTACCTTCTTTCTTTTTGCTATTTAATTTTTTTCTTTTATTTATTTCCACACTTTCTTTCTTTCTTTCTTTCTTTCTTTCTTTCTTTCTTTCTTTCTTTCTTTCTTTCTTCTCTTTTGCCTGTCTTTTTCATTCTGCCTTTTTTCCTTTTCCCTATTTCATTTTCTTTCATTTCTCTCCTTTATTTGTTCCACGCTTCCTTCCTTCCTCCCTTCCTTCCTTCCTTCCTTCCTTCCTTCCTTCCTTCCTTCCTTCCTTCCTTCCTTCGTTCATTTCTTCCATCTTTCCTTTCTTTCTTTCCCAGTTTTTGTCACTCTCTCTCTCTTTCTTTATTCTTTTTCGCTATTCATATTTTTTTCTTTTCTTTTATCTCTTTTCACACTTTCTTTCTTCTTACTTCCCCCTCTTTTACTCGTTTATTACATTTTCTTGTTAAGACACTGGAACATTTGACTTATATGAGAAGCAGCAATCCTTTTGTCAACTTCAATAATTATATGCCGAACACAGACAACTACGAACATCCACAACCATAACATCACATATATATATACCTACACTAGTAGCGCGCCTTAGTTCCATCGTATATTTATTGACGCAAAATAGCACACCATTGGCAACAGCAGGCCTAGGAAATCAGAGAGCAGAGTCTGCCCTGCATTAGCCGCCATCATTATTTTCCAATTCATCTTCTTCTTCGTTAGGCTCTTGATAAAAACATAGAAGCGTTCGATGCACAAATATTCTCGTGAAATTTTCTCATTTTCTTCTATTCCAATACTTACGCTAATTATTTTTTTTGTGTTCGCTTTCCTTCCTGGCGATGATAGTTTGATTCAACAATTCTTCATTCTCACATAACGATTCTTCTCTTTAACCACTAGATGGCGCTTAACACAGAGACACACGTCATCGAACTTATGTGATCGTTTCCGAGTTTTACCGATGTTCCCAGTGATGAAACTTTCAAAAAGAAAATGAAAGTTCCATGTTGAAAAGTTCAAATAAAAAACATGGTTATTTTAAAGAAAAAATATTGTTCTGTCTTTTAAGTTTTGCTGAAAGCGGTATACTAGAGGCATTGGAATTTAATTTTTCATTTGATAAATAAAGATGAAGGCATTACGTTCTCTAATCGCTTTTTCGAATTCTCTTAAACCCTTTCTTTCTTTTTTTTCTAGTTTTTCTAAAATTTTACTACCAATTTTTTTTTCGCCTACGTTTTACTTCCAGTTTTCTTCTTTTATAATACTTTCGCCCTTTAGATATAAAATAGTTCTTTCTTTCTTTAAGTGTTTTTAACCCAGTCATCTTTCTTTCTTTTCTTTCTTTTATATCTTTATATATTCTTTTCTTTTATATCTTTATATATTCTCTTTTTTTATCTCTAAATAAATATGTTCTTTCTCTTTTCTTTTTTACCAAATCATCATTCTTTGTCTTTTACTTTGTTACCTCTATCTCTTTTTCTTTCTTTCTTTCTTTCTTTCTTTCTTTCTTTCTCATTTCCATTTTTGTTTTGTCTCTACGTTATTCTCTTATTTTTCCTTCTTTCGCTTTTCATTAATTCATTTATTATTTGTTTAACTGTTTTATCCTCTCATTTCTCCCTTGTCTAAAACATTTCATCGCAATCTTTTTTCGTTCTTTCCTCTCATTCTTTCATTCCTTCATTCTTTAAATCCTTCATTCTTTTCTTCTTGCAATCTTTTATAACCACGCATCTCTTTTTCTTTTCTTTATAAGTTACTTGGTTCTTATCCTTTATTTCGTTCTACTTTTTGTCTTTCTCTTTTTCATATACTTTTGTTCGCTATTCTTTCTTTTCTCTCTTTTTGGTTTTTTCTTTCTTTCTTTTTTTTCTTTCTTACTTTCTGCTTTTCTTTCTTTCTCTCTTTTTTTCTTTCTTTTTTTCTTTCTATAGTTTTCTATCCGCTTATCGCTAGTTTTTTTTCTCTCTTAATTTTCTCAGTCTTTCTTTTGCTTTTCTTTCTTCACATCCTTTCCTGATTTCTCAGGCTTTTATATTCTTTCATTCTTTCTTTTTTCTTTTTGCTTTCTTTCTTTTTTCTTTCTCCTATTTTATTTCTTTCTCCCTTTCAGTCATTATTCTTCCGTTTGCTTTCTTTCTTTCTTTCAATTTCCATTTTTTTTTTATTTTTTTTTTTATTTTATAATTTCCTCTCTTTCTTTTCTGGTCGTTCTTCTTTTACGCTTCTGTCTTTCTTTCTTTTTTTCCGTATTTCCTTCAATTCTCCGTCTCATTCTTTTCTTTGTTTTTTCTTTCTTCTTTCTTTTCTTTCTTTTCTTTCTTTCCATCAATTTTCTTTTCTTTTTGCCGATTATTTCATAGTTTTGTCTCTTTCTTTGCTTACCTTCATTTGCTTCTTTCTTTCTTTTTTTCTTCTTTTTCGGTACTTCCTTCAACTCTACGACTCATTTCTTTCTTTTTCCTTCTTTTCTTTTTCTTTCACTTTTTTTTTGTTTTTTGTCTCTTTCTTTCCTTACCTTTCTGTTTTTTTTTTCTTTTTGTTTCTGATTGTTACTCTTGCTTCTTTCCGATATGTCGTCTTTTCCTGGAGACAAATCATTGACTTTCAAAAAATCTCTTTCATTTATATTCTCATCTCTCCTCGGATTGTATCTAATTTTTTCATAGAATAGCAGTTCAAACTGTCCTTTTATCACCTGTGAGAAAAATACAAAAACAAAAAAAAAAAACGCTTTACTTTTATTCTCCTGCAACGTAACAATTACGAAAGAGAAACTGCTACATTTTCCCCAAAGACAGACATAATTGAATTGTGGGTAATACAAGTATCCCACGCATTTTAAAATTCGCTTAACGTCTCTTCACTTTTAAGAAAGACAAGTATTCTTACAGATTTAACCCCGCTATCTGAAATAGCGGTAAAGGAAAAAGAA